AAGCTAGGTCAAAAGTAGCTGAGGAGGACAAGTGGCCAGAAATGGAGCAGGCCAAGATCTGAAGTGACACATAAGAGGTGTTCGGTATATGAGTTAATTTGTAAGGATGCACTTTTCTCAAATAGGTACTTTAATTAGTATGGGTCCATTTGGGGGACAATACTGAACAGTGAAGAAAAAGAATGGGCTTCAGTCTGGCAAAGGAGGATTAGAAAATCCTTGACTTGTCACTCTCTAGCTCTATGACTTTGAACCCCAATATTCTCTCCTATGCAATGAATCCAAGAAAAGGGCCCACTTGCCCTGGTCAGTATGGCTTAGATGGTTAAGTGTCATCCTATGCACCGAAAGGTTGCTGGTTTGGTTCCCTTTCAGGGCACATACTCAGGTTGCGGGTTCAATACCCAATCGGGGTGCATGTAGGAGGCAACCAATCGATATGTCTCTCTCACATAGATGTTTCTCTCTTCCTTTCCCTTTCTGTCTCTCTAAAATAAATAAAAACATATATTTTTAAAATATATTTTATTGATTTTTTACAGAGAGAAAAGGAGAGAGAGAGCTAGAAACATCGATGAGAGAGAAACATTGACCAGATGCCTCCTGCTTACCCCCTTCTGGGGATGTGCCCGCAACTCAGGTACATGCCCTTGACAGGAATCGAACCTGGGACTTTTCAGTCCTCAGACCGACGCTCTACCACTGAGCCAAACCGGCTTTGGCTAAAAACATATTTTTTAAAAAAGAAAAGGGCCTACTTGGTGGGTGGGGTTTTTTGTAAGGAGTAAGTAAAATAATTCATGATATCTACCTCTGATAAGAACTCAGAAATTGGTAGTAATGTTATTTTCTGCATTTCTGAGACTATTCTGCACTTCTGTGGGAGCAAGACTTGATTTACAGAACCCCTGGATAAATTTTCTTCCAAATGCCTGCAAGTTGGCTCAGCAATAATTGATCCTTTCTGTGACATAATTGATCCTTCCTGTGACATAATTGATCCTTTCTGTGACATAATTGAAACTGAAATGGGAGAGAAACAACTAGGCTGTTGGAGGAAGGCAGGTAAAGATGGCCACTCCCATGGACTCAGTGATGAGTTGGAGGGGAGGGAACTGGTGCTTTTATGTTCTAGATTTATTCTGACACAGCTTATCCATCCACAAGCCAACATTCAGAAACTACTTTCACAGACTGAGATTATCTTAAACCACAAGTTTTGACATGGCTGTCCATGATAACAATGGCACTAGTGAGCTTTTGAATGGCATTTTTCTTATATAACCTTCCCTAAGGCAAAATCATAAATGCAGCCACACACTCCCACAGGTTTCTCTCTCCCTCTCTCTCTCTCCCTCTCCCTCTCCCTCTCTCTCTCTCTCTCTCTCTCTCTCTGTGTGTGTGTGTGTGTGTGTGTGTGTGTGTGTGTGTGTGTGGTTTGAGGGGTGGGTAAGGGGTTAGACACAAGGGACATAGTGTGAAGGCCAGAAGCAGAAAGAGTTTCATTCGTTTGGGGAATGTATAGAAAGGACACATGATGTGTTTTCCCCAAAACTTCCCAACTTTCATGCATATTCTTAGTAACGACAATTTTTAGTGTCTTAAGTGGATTCAACTCTAAGTCAACTCTGGGGGGAGTTTGTCCGCTTTGTGAATTAGGAGTGCCAGTGCTGTCTCTATGGTCAGCATGCTGGACCGATGGCCTTCGTCCCCCATGGTGGAAAGCCTGTGTTTACTCAGGGAACAGCCACTCCATTTTAATACTGGCCTCAGCAAAGCTACTTATGAAGGCAAATCCATTGCTCCTGCATAATTAAAATCCGACTTGAATACCTTCCAACACCAAGTGGAAATGGCTTTTGGTTTATCCGTAGTTGCAGATTATTCACACTACTGCTCTGCTGTTAACAAAGTTATTCAGAGTTCATCAGCCAGCCAGTCTCAAAACCGTGATTGGGCACTGTTGCAAGTCAGTTGCATGCATCTTAGAGCACGTTACCATGTCAGCCGTGTGAGGAAATGTGGTGAGACCCCACATCAGTAGTTCTGGAAGTGTGATCCCTGACCAGCAGCCCGTGGGAGCTTGGTATAAATTTAAGATCATTCTCTTTTCATATGACTGGATGTGCATAATGGAAAAAAAAAAGTAAAACATAAAACGTATGTCTCCAGTTTATAAGTAGGGACAAGATACATTGTAAGAGGGTTTTAGAAGAAAGACTTGCCTGAGATGAGGCATTGAATAAGAAGGCTGCTCTGACACGTAGGTTCTTTGCCCCTGTCAGCCAGAAATGAGTTGTGATTCAGTCTGAATCTCAGATGGACCCATGCTAATAATTACAGATCTCAGCCACACCTGTACTCATTACTTTTATTTATCTATTGGTGGGGGTTGGGGGTGAGAGGGGCATTTTACCTTTATTTCTTTTTATCTTATTTTTTCTACCACAATCCTCTCTATGCCCCATTCCACCTTTGGCCATCCCTCTCCCTACCCCAACAATCACCACACTGTTGTCCATATCCATGAGTTCTCTCTCTTTTTTTTCCTTTCAATTCCTCCACTCACCCCCACCCCCAAATACACACCTTCCCCAAGAACTATTTGCTTGGTAATTCAGTTCGTTAATTCCACATATGAGTTAAATCATATGGTACATGTTTTTCTCTGACTGGCTTATTTCACCGTACTCATTACTTTTAGATCATTGCAAATCTTTTCCTGACTTTTGCTGCAATTTTCACATGCACTCCAAATAAGTTTTTAGGAAACCATTTTCCTAATTTGTCTGTAATCAGACTAGTCTAAATCAATCAAACCAATCAATTAAATGTGTAATCAGAATTTCTGAGGTTTCTAAAGACTTTAAAAAATATAAAAACCAAACCAATGAACCTGTGTGAGGGATGAGATTAAATAATGTTTTGCATATGATTTAGCGGATCCATGTTTTCCTTTTTATCATAGAAATGTAATTTTTATTAATAAGATTCATCAAATAATAGTTGAAACTTATTGTTATAGATAATGATAAGAAAGTAACATTGTGTAGTGCTTTGGAGGACACAAAGAGCTTACACATATATAAACACACTTTCTCTAGTGATCTTGTGAATATTTATGATTATTATTATTCTCATTTTATGAAGGAAGAACCTGTTTTGAAGAGTCCAGTTACTTTTTATAGGATCGCTCTATTAGTTATGATGCAGTTATGTTCTTCCCCTCTATCCTTGCTTCCTAGATGTTTTTACTTTATAACCTCAATTATTGAGGATCCCAAAGACCTTTTGTTCATGGTTTTTATGTTATAGACATTTACCATATTAGAATTTAGAACTGAGGAAATTTTAAAAATACAGTGTTACTTCACTTAAAGTAACATTAATAATAAAAATCATGTTTTTCAAAACAAAAAATAGGTTATATTCTCATGCATTTTAAAATATTTAATGTTTGGATTAATAGAAGATGATTGGATTCTCATATTTTCTGTTGCATTTAATTTGTTGCAAGATGATGTTTTTTGTTGGAGACTGAGAAAATTTTACCACCCATTGTTAAAATACAAGTGTGTAAAAGAAGGCCTATTTTTAAAAATACATTTTATTGATTTTTTTACAGAGAGGAAGGGAGAGGGATAGAGAGTTAGAAATATCAATGAGAGAGAAACATCTATTCAGCTGCCTCCCTGTACACTTCCTACTGGGGATGTGCCTGCAATCAAGGTACATGCCTTTAACCGGAATCGAACCTGGGACCCTTCAGTCCGAATGCCATTGCTCTATCTACTGAGCCAAACCTGTTAGGGCAAGAAGGCCTATTTTAATAATCTTTACAGACAATTGTGGATAGTTTTCTTTGATACTCTACCAAAACTCAACAAGTGGCACCTTTTCAAAGATCAGTTTGATATGGAATCTGACTCTTTTCAATATACTTTTTCTACTCTGTTACATTAAAGTACAGTGGTCTATTTGCATTCTGAATTAATATTTTACCAATGAATGATTTTATGACATCATGTTCTGGTTATTGGGAAATATTAATTTACTGAGCTATGAGAACTTTATAAATATTGTCACATTTTATAAAATAGTATACACAGACTATAGCTGTTAATAATACCATCAATACCATTTTAAAAAGCCCTTACATATTGGGAAGCTATCAAGTTCATGTTTGCAGACACAACATATTCAACATTCTAATTTTCCGTTCAAATTTTATCTTTAACAACAAATATCAGTTATGTTCCTTAAGGGACAGGCTCACTTTACGATCCTCAAAAGAATTTTCAAGATAACATCTTTATGTCACATTTCCAAGTCTGAATGATCAGAGATTACATTTCACAAAGAAAAACAAAACAAAAAAAAAATTAGTTCATCTTGGAGCTCAGACACTGACACAAGCATTTTTCCTCATGACAGTCATCGTGTTTTGATGTACAGCAGCAATATCTTATGCATATGTTCCATTTCATCGTTTCATCACACACAATATTAAAAAGACATGCACTCACGATTGAGATTTAATAACATGAACAATGTATACTCCTTCAACAAGATATTCTTTGGTAAATTGATTTTTTTTAAAAATAAGTGCATGGTGGTCAAGAATACTATAGCTTTCCACTAGTACAGTTTGGTGCCACTGGTATATATGTATAAAGGCACCAGCATGTTTATCACCATTGCTTATGCACCATCAGTACAAGTGTCAACCCGGTGAAAAGGTAATGTAGTGTTACAGTGAACACACTTTTGGTCTAGGGAGCTCTACGGGGTCTTGGGGGCTTTGATGTTCACGAAAGAATTTCTATCCTACATCGAGTCACCTTTCTCTTTAGTAGTGAGATTTTGAAGATCTTGACACTATACTATATGCTAGAGCCAACACCGCTGGTGCCAAACTTCCTAAATTGGTGACACCGATGCATTTTATTTTGTGCTTCTCATGGCGCATTTGGAGCCATTCTCCTTCTTGCGTACTGTAGTTGTTACATGCTGTTGAATTGGGCCAATTCCTGGCTACACTATGAATGAGTGATGTCCACAATGTTCTGTCCTCAATAGCCCTGCTCAGCTTCTGTAGATTCATGCCTATGGCTTCTTTATGGAATCAATTCATCTCCTGCTTGGTCTTCCTCTTTCTTGCTGCTTCTATTATTCCAGCATCATTGTCCTTTTCAAAGAGCCCTGCCTTCTCATGATGTGCAGAAGTAGGACAACTTCAATTTTGTCATTTTTGCCTCTGGTGATATCCAGGTGAAATTTGTTCTAGGACCCACTTGTTCATCTTTCTGGTTGTCCAGCGAATGTGTAGAGCTCTCTTCCACAGTATATTTCAAATGAATAATTTTTTTCCTTATTATCCTTCTTCACTGTCCAACTTTCATATCCGTGGATAGTAGTTGGGAATACAAGTGTGAAAATGTTCTTAGCCTTGGTCTCTAAGTCTCTTTTGAGTCTCAGCCTTCCCTTGACTTTATGGCTTTAGTCTCCGTTTGAATTGATGACTGAACTCAGGTAAGCAAAATCTTGAGCAAATTCAACATCTTCATTGTCTATCTTAAGTTGTGTTTTTTGTTTGTAGTCCTAAGTTTTGTCTTCTTGATGTCTAAACCTTGTGGTCCAACTAAACTTTTTGTTCTTTGAACTCACTTTGTTCTCTCTAGCTTCTGGGTCTTTACAAATGAATACTCCCCTCTAAATTGGAAGGATAGCTCATTCTCAGGTGTAAGCTTACATATCATTTTCTCAAGGACATGCTCACTGACACGTCCATTCAAAAAACACTTTTAAACACCCATTATATGCCATGGAATAGGCTAGGTATTAGACATGCATTGGTAAATATTGAGTATTTATTTTTTATTTCCCGGTTAATGTCTGTGTTCTTCATTAAACACGTGTGTGATCATTCATACTTACAGCCTCATTTCCCGGCATGATGCCTGTTGCACAATAGTCACTCAATATATATCTGTTGTAATTGTATATTATTTCACAGTCTATAGCACAGGTGATAAAAAAAAATTAACAATTTTTCTTTAACTCAATTTAATCTGTTATATCTCCTTTTTACCTGTCAGCAGAAAAACATACTTTGATTAATTTGGATAGCTAAATTATTTTTATATGCTACATTATTTTTATATTTAGAAATGAAGTTGGCCAAATTCAGGGTCTCTCCTCTCTGTCCTCCTTGGGATAGATCTTATCATCTAGGGTTTATTTAAGATTACATTATTTGTGGGGACAGATGTCCTGCTTGTAGGTCTTGATCCATCTACCCTGACACCCACCAAGACATATGATAATACTGTTGTGTTTCTCATAGCCTCCATGTCAATTTGAGCTTCTGCAGATGATTTGCATGTGCTTCTACCACAAAACCTGCTAGAAATGGTTGCAATGCATATTCTATCCTTAATATTTGTAGGTTCCATATTTGTAAGTTTGCCCACTTTCTATAATTTATTTGCAATCCTAAATTCAATCCATGTATTTTGGTATCTGCAGCTGAGATAGGTGGACTCCTACATGAACCCTCCTGGGACTAACTTCAGTAAATACTCATGTGCAGATTCTATCTTTGTGAATTGCCCTCTTTGTTTCCAAAATCGATAGTCATGTTATTTTCATGGTCACACACAGACATGTCAGAGTAGTGAGAAATTTGAGTTGCTTGACACTCACATTCCCAGTCGAGTTTGAACAAGGTAACCCTCGGCCTTCTTGTTTTAGCCTCAGAATGTAAGTGTACTTTTTGAATCTATTCAGTGCGTTTTTCACATGTTTGAGCCTTTTGCTGGTGATTTTGCTGTTTACAATGGGTTCCAAGCATAGTGCTGTCCAGGGAAAATGCATGTGTTAGAAAAGCTTCATTCAGGTGTGGGTTATAGTGTTGTTGGCCTCGTGCTCAATGTTATGAATTAACAGTTGCACATGAAATGAAGTTTCTTTAAACAAAAAGACACAAAAACAAAGTTTTGTATGGATGGTTGACAAAAACATTACAACCTGAGGTTCTCAGGAACATAACTGTGTTTCTCCTAGGACTGCTGCCTTCCATTTGCTAATTCTGTATCTGTGACTACTTTATAGAACATAATTACCGCAAATAATGAGAATTGACTGGGCCATTTTCCTGACTTTTCTTTGGTTGCTGAGCAGACAGCCACAGCCTGAATTCTGGTTCTTGCTCCAGCATATGCTCACTCTGTGTCCTCATGAGAGAGAGATTTGGAGAGAGACACATGGGGAAGAAGGTCATGTGACGAGGGAAGCAGGGACTGTATTTATGATGCCACAAGCCAAAGGATACCAAGAATTACTGGCAGCTGCCGGAAGCTAGGGCAGAGGCATGAAACCCCCTTCTCCCCAGAGCCTCCAGAAGCAACCAATCCGTGGACAGCTTGACTTTGGACTTCCGGCTTCCAGAACCACATGAATACATTTTTATTGCTGCAAGCCACCTAGTTTGTGGTTCCTTGTTACTGCAGCCCTGGGGCACTTTCAGGTAGTGTCATGGAAGAGGTGCACTGGAAAAAAACTCCAAATAGACCTGTGAAGAAAGGGCATCTCATCAAGAGCGCCCTTTAGTTCAGGACCGACAAAGACTCTGCTAATTACCTGGAAACCCTGGCTTCCTGTTTTCAGGAAGCAGGTGTCGCTGAGAGAAGCCAGGCACTAGGGATCAGGCCTGTGGAAAGGTTTCTGTGTGTGGCATTTCATACTCTCAGATCAAATGCTGTTTAAAGGAGGAATAATGAATATTAATGTAGCACCTGCTTCAAATCATTCCAACTAACAGGAGCTGACAGAGAGCTGGCATGCGCAGTGAGACCCACTGGAAGCAGCTCCATCCCTACACTCTTTTTAAAAAAAATATATATTTTTATTGATTTCAGAGAGCCAGTGAAAGAGAGAAAGAGAGAGAAAGAGAGAGAAAGAGAAAGAGAGAGAAAGAGAGAGAGTGAGTGAGAGAGAGAGAGAGAGGGAGAGAGAGAGAGAGAGAGGATGATGAAAGCAAATCACTGATTGCTCCTGTACGCTCCCTACTAGGGATTGAGCCCGCAACCCTGGCATGTGCCTTTGACCTGAATGAAACCTGGGACCTTTCAGTCTGCAGGCCCATGCTCTACCCACGGAGCAAAACCGGCTAGGGAAGTGGTTGGCAAATGCATTAGTCAACAGAGTCAAATATCAACAGTACGATGATTGAAATTTCTTTTGAGAGCCAAATTTTTTAAACTTCTTCTAACGCCACTTCTTCAAAATAGACTCACCCAGGCCATGGTATTTTGTGGAAGAGCCAGACTCAAGGGGCCAAAAAGCCACATGTGGCTCGCTAGCTGCAGTTTGCTGACCATGGAGCTAAGGCATTTGCTGCCTTACCTTAAGAATCCGTCCTGGACCAGACCAAGGGGCTTTCCGGATTGGCCCTCCGAGGTGGCCTGCTGGGCCCCAGCATGGGTCCCTTGGCCCTGGAGGCCTGTTTGCCCACCTCGGGCAGCACAGAGGCCCTGTCCACTGTCTCTCAGGCAGGCTGCTGGGGAAGAGGGCTGCTGACCAGAGTTCCCTCTCCTATTCAGGTGCCTGGGGCGAGGCCTGTGGAAGGTAAGCTGCTTTCTCTGGAATGAAGCAACCACATTTCCTCAGGGGTTTCCCTAGAGTGGAGGAATTGGACTCATTTGAATCCACTCCCGGCTGCTGCAGAGGCCACACACTCCAATTATTCTGGCAGGACATCTTTGTGGGGATGTACCTTCCCCACAGGGGGGTTACTAACGGGTGCCAGGGCCTGAGAAGCCTGCTTAGGAATGAACCGGAACTGGCAGGCTACAATTAGTACCTGTACATATGCCTGGGCTGCCTCTAGCCAGGTGAATTATTTAGAAATTGCTCAGAGTAGCATTGTCAGCTCGCTCATGAGCGCTCTCTCGCTCGCTCTCTCTCTCTCTCTCTCTCTCTCTCTCTCTCTCTCTCTCTCTCTCTCTCTCTTGCTGTCAAGCTCAGCAAGAGAGCTGTGGGGAACGATAGTCTATTCTCTAGCAGCTGTGTGGCCAAAAGAGCACCTCCAAGCAAAGTTTGTTAACCACAATTTACAGAGGATTCTAGGTGTGCCATCTGCTACCTGGCATGCTTAATAAGCCTTAATTCATTAAGTTCTAGTAACCCTACTATGAAGCAGCTATTGTTACCCTCATTCTACATATAAAAACTCTCAAGGATAGTGTAAATGGAGTAATTTTCCAGGTGACAGTAAGTGATGGACCTGCTTACAAACACAGCTATGCTGACTTCAATTCTAATTTGACCTCCCAAGTGAACAACCCCTGAGCAGAACTTTAAATGTGTGTGTGTATACACACATGCATATATGTATAGATATGATTCAGATACACACATATAGATTATTTGAATCTACACATATATTCTAGATTCAGAACTTGAAAAAATATATATATATGGTTTTGGGGTTAGAATAAAGGCTATAAATGGCATAATACCAATATCTTACACAGATCTGTCACTAGATAGTAAGAAAGATCTATAAAAGCAGGGACAATGTCTATTTTTCTTACCAATGTGTACCCAGAAAGTAATACAGTATCTGGCACAAATGTATAGTCAGTAAATATTTGTTGAATGGATAAATGAAAGGAATAAATGAGAAAATGAGTGAATTATTTTGTTTATTGCCATGTTTTGCATCCACTGCCTTTTTATTCCCAGAACAGCCTCAGGAAGTAGGCAGAGTAAAAATGATCACTCTGATCTTGCAGACATGAAATTAGAACTAGTATTTTCTGGCTGCATGCAATTCTCCACACAGATACTTAATAAATGATGCTGAAATGAAAGCTATGAATGAAGCACCAGGATGATAAACACCATACTCCAAAGTGAAATGTGAGGTTATGAAATAAGCATTTCAGCAGTGGTATTTTGAAAGAGTGGTCAGGTCATTGAGAAGTGAAATTAGAACAATTTAATAGGGATTGACTAGAGTAAGGCAGAAGTAACTTGTGTGAGACATCTGACTGAAGGTCTCTCCAAGCAGGTACATAGGGAGGAAGTAGTCAGGCAGGCAGTGTT